TAGTGATAGAATATATTCTATTTCATAGAACATAGTTCCAATGAAGAATTTCATATTTCAACGATATTAACTAACTGTTTTTTCATTACATTAATATACAATCGTTTCATTCATTAATCATCATAAATTACTCTTTCTATCTTCTTATCATTCATCATGATGTTTTTAAGTTACTTATCATTTCAACACATTTTCTGAACTTTGTTTGAGGTTGTAATTTGTTATTTCTATCATTTCTAACAAAATCACCACCAACCATCATTTCTTCTTTTTCGTTGTGTAATTGCCATAACAAAACACAATATGAAGAATAGACAAAAAAAATAGAATAAAACAAATAAATTGAAACGAATGAACCTCTATCATAAACAAGAAGAAATGAGATATGAAATATGAGTAAAATGATGATTAAAAGATGAGTGATAATGAATAGCAATTAGTTAATTAATGAATATTACAATATTTAAGATAGAGAAGAAAATATAGAATCAAAGTGAATGAGAGAAATAAAATGTGTTAATAATATAAGAATAAATTGTTAGTTTCATAATTCAATATACATAGATAATAATATAAGATGAAGTTGAAAAGCAACTATTATATTCAATAAGAAAATGATATCAAAGAGTATTCGATATTAACTTGTATTTAACTTGGATAAATGAGAAAGTACATAATTATATTAAAAATAAAGATAAGAGTATTTATGAGAAAATAATAATCATATATTTAACATAATGATATATTATTATTACAATGATAAATAAGTTATTGTTTAAAAAGATACAATACCACAGTTAAAGGTATGCAACTTCGTGAATCTGTTGAATACATTAATATATTGTATTGAGAGTATTTTATGCATTTAATTTAGAAGTATTATTTTCATTATTATTTTTACAATACTTATGAATAATATTTATTAATTATATACCATCATTGTTTTTCAATTGAGGTTAAGAATATTAATAAAGTAAACGAAATATAACAACATAAATTTAAATCAAAGTTCATTGTCAGTAGTAAGTATTTATTAATACTCTCATTATTCTGTTTTGTTGATGTCTTTGGTTATTATTTTGATTTTATGATATGTTTCTAATAAATTATTAATGAGTTTCAATACAGAATAAAGTTTCTTGTGTCTTATTAATTATGATTATTAGTTGAATGGTTAGAGTCATTGAATTTAGTTTAATACCAATTAATAAAAAAGTAATTCGAATCATTCAAAATAATAAATGGTTTTGATAATAAGAATGAATATTACCAATAAAAAGTCTAACTATGTATGCTTACTAACAATATATGTGTTTTAAAGATTTAGTAATATAGATAAACCTATTGTTATCATCAACTAATATTATTGAATATTTTTGTTTTATTGTAATTAGTATCAGTTTGAATATGCTGATGAAACAAACAATGTACTATTACATCATCGATAACCAATATTCATATAATAATGTTGCTATAACACTTTCAAGTGTTGTAATAAACAAAATTGTTAAATAGTTGTGTTTTAATTTTTAACAATCAAATTCGTAACTCAACTATGTTAAACAATACTAGAATGTGACTATACTCAAAACGATATGATGAAATAATATGTTAAAAAAATAAAATCAAAGTATATTCCAAAGAATAAATTGATATGAAACGTAATAGATTAAAAGATTTGTTGATTAATAAAAACCAGTGCAAAATTAAAAGTATAAGAAGAACCAAACAAATGAAAGTTTAGGTTATTATCAATAAAATGATATAACAAATAATTTTAATAAAAAAAACATTCAATAATAAGAAAAATAAAGAAAACAATAACCATAAAAATGATAAAAGTACAATAGAAATATAAATTTGCCAATCTGATGAAATAGTAATGTCTTATGAAATAGAAGGTAACTAAAGATAAGAAATGATAAAATGAATAATAATTGAATTTAGAAGAAACTGTATAAGACATATGCTAAAAGTGAATATAATGGAATATATCAAATTATACAAAATAAGAATAACACATCTACAATAATAAAAGAATGAAAGAATAAAAAGAATGAAAGACATTAATAAATAGAAAATGAATAATCAATTAATGAAATAAAATGAAAATGAAATAATAAGAAATTAGCAATTAAAATAATGAAAAATATCAATACAAAAAGAAAAATTAACAAAGAAAAATGGATAAGAAAAGTAAAAATAGAAAAATAGATTGAGTTATAATCAATAAAACTTACTGACTATAATTTGTCTCACAAAAATAAAATTCTTTTATATATCATATTACAGTAAATAGTCCAACTTATTCTGACATTTCTGTTTATCTGTTTCATTAAAAATTTTTGGGTATTGAATTGTGATATTAAACAAAATTCATTGGAAAATAACGAAAAAAAGGGAAAAACAAATAAAGAAATAAAAGAACTAAAAAAAGA